GTAGGCTGAGATTAATGTTCATCAGATTAATGTTCCTGATTGTTCCCCAACATCCTGAATACAGAACTCATTTGCCTATGTGATTATTACCAGGTATGTCTCTTCCAGTAATTGGTGGCAATCAGGAGGAAAGGTATTTCTCATGTTGACCAGAATGCCTAATAGCTAGTCATACTCTATAACTATTTATTACATAAATGTAACCATAGATTTTATATGAATTATTGAATAAATGCATTGAGCTATTTAAAATTTAATTATTGACTAAACATAACCATAGAGTTTTACATGCTATCAAGATTTGAAAATAGGTACAATTTAAAAAAGTTTCTAACCACACATATGAAAGTCATGTCTTAAAGACCTATCAAATTAAATAAAATCAAACCACTAGTGAATGAGCAGCATTTCGAGAGAAAGCAAGAGAGAACCATGACTGTAGATCATTGTTAGAACAGTCCACAAGCACGCTAACTTAACTGCATTAGTTCCCATAGAACAGCAAAAAAGACATTTATTTTTTCTGGTAAACCTATTTTTATCTTTGACTTTCTCATTGAAGAAGGTCCTAATATTGAATCCAAATCCACTGCCATTGATTTAATTAGAACTCACAGCGAGCAACCTCACAGGAAGGATTCTGAGACTGCCCATCTTTCTAGAAGCAGGCAGTCTCATTTTTTCTGCTTTAGAGGGCCTGGTGGGTTGGAACAGCCAACCTTATGGTTAGCAGCACAGTGCTTACACTATTGCGCTTTCAGGGGTCCTTTAATCTCTAACGTGGTCCCATTTTAATAAAAGAAGATAAAAAGAGAAATCCTTCCTTATTAGATGAGTCTTTGGCAACACTCCTGGGTGGTACATGGTAAAAATCAAGTGATGGAACCTGCTCTGTTTGTTGTTCTACACCTAAGAGATAAGTCTCTATTTGACAGTGAGCCATGCCCATCTGTGGTGATCAGCTAACCCAGAACGAAAAGCAGAACAGCTCCAGTGATAGCGACCTTTCCTGGGAAAACATCTGCTACCAGCTGAGTGTGTTTACAAGGAGGCAACACTAGCAAATGTGACAGATGCACGCTCAGTCCATCTGTGTGGTGTTGAGCCCTGAGGAAGCTGGAGCTAGAGGGACAATGAAAGCCTGCTTTCTGAACTATCATGACATACTAGAAAATGCAAATTAGCATCTCATAAAAAGATTTGTTTTCTCCCTGTGTTATATTACCTTCAAGTTAACTGATATGTGTCACCTAATATTAGTAATACTTTCTTCTATTAAATTGGCATTCTATGATGCTCACCTTCCTGACACAACCGCTGAAGACAAAGCGGGTGAATAAGCAAATGTGGTGAAGAAAGCTGATGGTGCCAGGCTATCAAAAGATATAGCTTCTGGGGTCTTAAAAGCTTGAAGGTAAACAAGCAGCCATCTAGCTCAGAAGCAACAAAGCCCACGTGGAAGAACATATCAGCCTGTGTGATCACGAGGTGTCGAACGGATCACTGAAGACAAATGGGTGCATAAGCAAATGTGGCGAAGAAAGCTGATGGTGCCCGGCTATCAAAAAGTATAGCATCTGGGGTCTTAAAGGCTTGAAGGTAATCAAGCTCAGAAGCAAAAAAGCCCACATGGGAGAAGCACACCAGCCTATGCAATCACGAAGTTTGGAAGGGATCAGGTATAAGGCATCATCAGAACAAAAAATCTTACCATAGTGAATGATGGGGGGAGTGCGGAGTGGAGACCCAAAGCCCATGAGTAGGCCACTGGAGATCCCCTTGCAGAGGGGTCTCAGGGAGGAGACGAGCCAGCCAGGGTGTGATGTAGCAACGATGAAAAATACAACTTTCCTCTAGTTCCTAAATGTTTCCTCCCCGCCCCTACTATCATGACACGAATTCTACCTTGCAAGTTTGGCTAGACCAGAGGATGTACACTGGCACAGATAGGAACTGGAAATACAAGGAATCCAGGGTAGATGATCCCTTCAGGACCAGTGGTGTGAGTGGAGATACTGGGAGGGAAGAGGGAGAGTGGGTAGGAAAGAGGGAACCGATTTCAAGGAACTATATGTGACCTCCTCCCCCGAAAAGTAGGTGAAGGGAGATGTCGGACAGGGCAAGATATGACAAAATAACAATTTATAAATTATCAAGGAGCGGGGAGGGAGGGGGAAAATGAGGACCTAATGCCGGGAGCTTAAGTGGAGAGGAAATGTTTTGAGAATGATGAGGGCAACGAATGTACAAATGCGCTTTACACAATTGATGTATGTATGGATTGTGATAAGAGTAGTATGAGCCCCTAATAAAATGATTTAAAAAAAAGAATGTAGCTGTGCTAGGATCAATATTTGAGTGAGCACAATCATTTATTTAAAAATTAATTGACAATATTTTGGACATAAATGAAAATACCGGTTTTATATTTTTCATGTTTGACAATATTACAATTGGCAAACATTTTCACCCTTGGGAAAATAAAATGCTGAATAAGATAGCCATCAGTTCTTGTTGGCTTGTGTTTAGAATTGCCTGGAAGGCAACTGGTTTTATACTTCTCTGTACCTGAAATCTGGGCTCATTAGTCATCTACTTGCAAAGTTAGTTTCTTGGGTAAATTGTTGCCTGTAAGAAAAGGCAGCATCAAAATGTATTTGGTTAAGTGGAGGGGCAATAAATTTAGATGGAATTCGGCCAAATCTTGATTTTGTCAGGTCTGCGCTGGGTGACCTAGAGTAAGTCACTTACCCTAACGCTGCTGTACCTCATCTGTGAAAATGCTGGCTTCCCAGTAACCAACTCATAGGCTTGTTTTTTGAATCAAATCCATTATTATGTATAAAGCACTTAGAATAATGTTTGGCCTAGAGACAATACTACTTTTATCAAATAAAACAGGCCAGATTTAAATAGGGCCCATAAAAGTTATGGTTACTATTTATGTATCCCCCCCATCTATTTTTTTGTCCCCTTCGCCCCACCTCAAGCCCCCCCCATCTATTTTGGACTAAAATTAAACTACAAGTCCTTATGAATCGGGTTAGCTTTAGTCAGTTAATCTGAGCCTCATAAAACTTAGAAAAATATAAATCTCAATAACCTATCAGAAGAGGCTCTGCCTAATCAAAAAATCAAAATGGGTTAATCATACGAAAACCCACATTTTAAAACTTAGTGCATAAACTAGGAAAAGCTGAAAGTATTGGTTTATATTTATATTATAAATTATTTAGTACATTATTGGTATGTATATTATTACTAGACAAATAAGAATATTTTAATTCTTTGAAGAGTTGATGTGAAATAAGAATGTTTTTTACCACATCTTAATATATGTTTCATAGGTATTGAATGATGGACTGAGACAGTGGCTGCAACAATGGGCTCAGGCAGGGGAACAATTGCGAGGGTGGTGCAGGACCGGGCAGCATTTCCTTCTGTTGTGCATAGAGTCTCTATGGAAGGCATCAATTTACTGGCACCTAACAACAACATATATTAAACATACAATAATCTAACACATTAGCGAATCCTTGTTTATAAATTTTAAATTTCTTTAGATCCAGACTTCTCAGAGTTTTTGAAATCCTGACATACCTTGTAAATCCTGAAATAATGTTGGCACAACCCATTCATTTGCAAACAGTCCAAAAAACAATGTGTTTCACAGTACATTTTTAAAGGATCCCACTGTAAACTAAAATTACAAGGCTAAAGAGAAGAATTTTAGCAAATCTATGCACATTTCAAGGAATAATACTCTTATCCTCTTTTAAAACAGTATTTTATATAATTGAAACTAGGACAAAATATTTTCTTTTTAACTGCTTTCTTTTAGAATACAAATTCACAGTCAACAAACCTTTCACCAAAGACCTGACACCTCTTCCTTAAATGTCAAAGTAGGAGTTAAGCGTGATGAAGTCTGACTACCCACAAATATTAAGTAAAAATGATGCATTGCATGTGGATATTTGAAAGAGATCCTTGTAAACAGAATGAAAAACGAATATCCGGTAACCCACTCCTCACTTATTGACATCATTCCGTTCCACAAACCTGCTGTTAAGCAAAAATCAGTGTTGAATGAAAATGGAAGATGACTATATCAAATTACAAAACGGAGTGCTACATCATTATATAACTGATACAATCATTCAACAATTTCCAGATCATACGGCTGCACAAGTGTCGAAACACTGAGAATGATGCCAACCCAAGTTGATATAGAACGTCCACTGTTCCAGCCAGTGTTACTCTTGCCTTGTTTCCTGGCATTTGGCATTGCCAGATGTATGTCATTCATATGGGGAAAAAATCAGCTTGTAGAATTTTTACTATTGTTTATAAATGCAAATGTTGGCTGATGACATAATCTATAAGACAGGAATAGTTGGATTCATTAGTTAATGCTAATGTCTTATTCTGGGTCTTCAGAAGAGGTTTAAAAGTTGAATAATGCTAAAAGTGACCTCACGAAGTTACAGTTAATAATTTCTTCAGGAAACAAGACAGAGCTTAAACACATACACTTGCCAATTATAGAAAGTCTTAGCAACATAATAAGACACGCAGCTTTTCAGAATTATGTCCTGTAAATAGCAGCAAGGAGAGCAAACACAGTCATTGAAATCACTAGTCAAGGGGCAGCTGCCGAGCACGTACGGTTGAAGACGCCATTGGTCTTGTGGCCATGGAACTGAAATGACTCACCGTCAGCAGTCGGTGAGAATATAAATTGGATACAGATGACCACAACATCTGTATCACTTCCTCCTATCAATCACAAAATGAAACATATAAAATAGCTAAGGCCTTCTTGGCACTGATGGGTCTTTTGATATAGTTCCTTGTCTCATTCATACTGGTTAAAGGAGCTGGTAAGATGTGTGTGGACTGAAGGTAGGCTATGATAAACGATTTAGTGAAAGTTGTACCTGGAATTGACACATAAGTAGGATAGAGGACTTGAATATAAGAGACTTAAAAATTTTTGGAAAAAAAAGATATTTAATTTATTTTACAATTTTACAAATAACAAAACAATAATACTCAATCGGTATACACAAACAATAGGGAAACAGTGTTGAACAGAATGAATTTAACAGAATAAACCTAATTTTTTCAACTCCACAAACTGTATAAGAAATACTCAGTAGCAATTATCCTGTGCAGCAATGCTATCTCTGTAAACTCTTTTGTTCCTGCTATATACATTTGAAACACTTGTGCTTTTGCTACTCAAAGAAACAGCATTTATTACAAAGTGCTACTTATGTGAGAGACACAAGGAGGCCTAAAACCACAATCTGAAACTTCAAATATATTACCAGCTCGAAGACTTTTTGTTTTTTGGTAAAATTTTGGATATACTTGACCTTCATTGTAATTCTAGCTATGAATAACATATAATTTAGTTATGAAGTAGTTCCCTCTTAAAGCAGGTTTAGTGACTGCAGTTTCAAAAGAACTTCTAGATTCTAAAATGGCTTTGTCTCCAGAGTGATCCACAGGGGAGGCTCTGAAGATGTTAAAATAACACAAATCTGATGTGTTTAGCTTCCAGACCCTGTGTGTACACACACAGCTGCACATATATAACACTGTGTGTATGCATCACACATGTCTATTTGTACGATACAGATATATCTATAGCACATATATAATAAAATATCTATTTCTAGGTGGGCTTTATTTGGACTTTCTTCAAATACGAACAATAATTCTCACTCACTGAATTTTGAAAACATTAGAATATGAGTAATGTAGGATGGGAAAACTTTCAAATTTGCAGAGATAACAACTAACTATATCTAACTCTTCCCACATCCCTTTTACAATGATAATACTCCATACAATAGCCACATGGAAACAACTCCTTTATGAACCAAATGCCAAATCATGTGCATTATGATTCTCTCAGTTAGAAATAAATTACTTTGTCATCCCCTTTTTCCCCCTCTGTAGCTTATAACTAGTTGGTATGTACACTACCATAGCATTATTTAAATAGATTGCTTCTCTAAGCATATGTAGAAATTCCCCTTAGCAATTGATATACAATTCATATGATACACAATATATGAAGACATTTGAATGCCCAGCACCTTCCACGGCAATTTTATCAGTCCTGTGAGCTGAACCTTTAGATTTGCCCAGACAATATGCTATTGGCTTCTTGATGTCAACAGCACAGTGACAACAATGTTTTCTGATGTACCAGAATATTTTCACAATTGTTGCCTGAGCATTGCCAGGTATACGGTTAAATCATATATCAAAAAAAAAAAGTTGTGAACATATAATACTATCCCAAGGGGAGGATAAACAACAACAAATAATTCAAGTATGTATTTATGATTGATTTTGTCATGGTATCTTATGCCCCCTTATGGGATAAACCTACACTGCTTTTTTGATCTTGCTGTTAGCCTTCAATTATTTCCTTGCCATGTCCCTGTAAGAAGGCCACAGCACGTCTTGGGGGTGGGGACGGGTGCAGGATGGAAAGATATACAATAGGGTATGAAATGGTCTTATACAATTTGTCTTCTGTGAATGCTAAACGCCTTTAATTGAATTCATTCTAGAGTATTGAAAGTTCCCTGAGATGAACAAAAGTAGTCTCAGTCGATACTGAAGCCCTTTTTTTTTTTCATGCTGGACATATTTGGAACTGGGCAACGTACATAGAGAACACAAAGCACAGGGCAACAAAGCAACGTGAAGAAGTTGAAAAGGCACTACTCAATGCATCTGTGAGATAAACATCAATGCACAGAACAGTGGATGGTTGGGAAACTTTTCCTGTGGCCTTTAAAACGGTTTAAATGCATTTGTTGCAAAAGCAGCCAAACTGGCAAGGTACCTTGCTGTACATACCCTGACTAGGTGCTCCGAAGGATTTTGTACGTAAGAATTTATTTGTGACTTTTAAGCTCCCGTTGAATTTAAAGTAATGGTGACTTGATCCACTTATCCTGTGCAAATATTCCAAACCCAGGTCTTCAAAGTCACCTACTTTTAATTTGGCAAATAAATGGGACTTTGCAGTTAGCAGGTACCTAATGCTTTAAACTTTTAAAATTGGTAAGTGGTGTAATGACAGAACGTCAATGTTCTAAACACTGTCAGCTCTGCCTCTTCTGTAAGCATTTTATTTTGCTTTCAAAGAGACACACAGATTCTCAGAAAATGGATTCTTCTGTCTCCTAAACTTCTGCCATATTAAAAAAAAGATACCAAATTTGAAAAATACTGAGAACTGTTCAACTACGAACACCCTTTTCGGTTAATATATAGAAAAGAAGAAATAGCTTGACATAATGCATTTTCTCAGGCTGCCTTCTCGAAAACACAACAACAAAAACAAAAGAGAATAGATTCCCCCATGCTATTTCTTCTTTTCCCAGATGGCTTTCTCTAAAGAAGAAGAAGCCTCATCACGTTGTTTCAGGCCGGGAGTAGAAGTGGGAATACAGCACTTCTGCTTTTCTGTTTCAAACAAAACAACTTGTCATAAAAATCACCTACGAGCGCAGAATAAGTGATCAGAAAACTGGCATATCAGTCCAATCTGTTATATATGAATATTACAAAATTGCCTCAGTAATTTAATGTTGCTGTTTTTTTTTAAACCAAAACACTGTGGTAATATGACTATAATGAAATACAGAATGAATACTATAAACAATATTAAAATTGAAGTGCAAAATATTGACCCATATTGTCATTGTTAAACTTCTTAAATTGATCACCTCTGCTATGGAACAAACACTGCCTTGATCATATTGTTTCTGGTACTATGAAATTTAACAATGGTACCAGGAGTGTGCAGGTTTTCCATTTGAATGATGTGGACAATATTAAATCACCTTAAGTCATATTTTAACTTTGTCATTTAAACATCTATTCTAAAGGACAAAGAGACTCCACAAAAATGTTATGTGGAACTCTTAATTCAAATGAAAATCAAGTGTGCAATTAGAAAAAAGCAAAATACTCAGTGACCACTTTCATATTAGTAGCATATTATTACTACATTAATGATGTAGCATATTATTAATACATTAATGATATATCATTTTAATGAAAGCAGAACGGTTTGTTGTGTAGAAACATCAGTATAATCTTTGGTACCAAAAGTACATGGGTTTTTTTCTGCTAATTTTACTGTCTCAGATAACATGGAACATCTTTTAAAATATTACTAAGTGGTACAGCTCGTCTGGTACCTTCCACACCATCATAAAAAAATGTTCGGAGGTTTAGAGTTGTGCAAACTAAAACTTTAAAAAATCTCTTTGTGAGATTGTTCCTTTAAGGAAAAAAATGGTTTAAATGATTATTTTAAGATTATGTCATTCATATTTATCTGAGAAAGGAATTTTAAGCACCCTAACACCCAAACCAAGAGATTCCAGAACACAAACAAAAATATAAACAGAAACATAAGATTCGTGATCAGACTCAGTCCTGACAGAAGGCATTTACTTAAGTGGCTTAATCGTATGGATTTCACTGCTCAAACGGTTTCTGTCATGATCTCCGCCGTCAAGGACGATTTGATTTCCCCAAGGGGTGAGTTGTCTTCCGGGGATCCTCTTCTTCTATGTGCTTGGCTTTGCAGTGGCAGCCCAGCGGTGATGGACAGAGTTGCTCTACTGAACGATGGATGCATTGCTGGATCTTGTAAACACTACTGATTATACATTCAAGCTGTGTTCTTAGTGGAAGTGGCACTTACTAGGACCCTTGAAGTCAAAATATTTAATTTTTAGAGCACTTTTCAGGTATTTCATCAGCTGGTAATGGATTATATCAAATCTTCCAGTTGCTTGGCAGATGTTGAAACCCAGTCTTGGTTTGGATCCTATTTTTGAATTTTAGGATGCATCTTCAGGAAAGAAGTGCATATTCAGTTCTGTTTGTTTTCCACTGTGCTTTATTGCTTCACACACTTTCCTGTTGTCAGTTTTAGAGCGCCTCTATTATGTAGCACATTTAATGTTTTGAATTCTAATGGCATTCTGTGAGGGCTTGCATTGGAAAAGTACCTATATTTTAAATCATCATAGTAATGATATTTGACAGCTTTTCCATTTAAGTCCTTAGGGAATGGCCAGAATCCATACAGGTGAATTTCATCACAAAATCGTGTGGCAAGTGTATACATTAGAAGACCTGTGCTGGGTCTTTTGATGGGAACTTTGTTTGTCAGCCAGTAACTGGAAAAAGAAAACAGAAAAGAAGAATTTAGAGAAGCACATCATATTTTCTACGAAAATCTATTATGCATAATTAAAGTAAATAACATTTAACTTGTATCTTTATAACTAACATCAAAAAGAATGCTTGAAGAAGGACTATATTTCTTAAACATTTAGCCATTTTGACTCTTTTTAATTGTCTCTATTCTCTATTCTAAAGGTTTGTCTCAGGGTCACATAAATATCTGGACGATCTGGACTTTAGATAACATGAGTAGTAGAATCTCACAATCTAAATGAGTTAGTAGGAAACATATAGAATACAGAGAAGAATATTCTTAGAAAGGACTACATACAAGTGCAAAGGATATAGAAGGATGCTGGCACTTGAGTAATTCTCTTAGAAAAACCAATCTAAAAATACCCACAGGTATTCACAATGTCTGATATTTCAATTAAAAATTCAAACAAGTAAATGTTTGCGTGAATTCAGCATATCCAACGTGAATTCAGCAGGTCTCATTTTACAAACACAAACCAAACCAAACTCTGCCGTCGAGTCAATGCCGACTCACAGTGACCCTAGAACATCGTGATCCTCCAACAGAGTCACCTATAGCACCCTATTGCATACTTCTGATGGGAGTGGATAGCCTTGTCCTTTTTCCCAAAGAGGGGCTGGTGATTTTGAACTGCTGACCTTGCTGCTGGCAGCCCAACTTGTAACCTCTATGCCACCTGGGCTACCATTTTACAAAAGCAAATTAAAGATTGTTTCAAAGTGGACTTACTCAATACTTGCCCTCATAAAGAGATCACTGAAGATACAGGTGTTATTGCAAAGTGTGATGCAGATGGTGCCCTGCTATCAGAAAGAATAGCATCTGGGGCCTTAAAGCTTGTCTTAAAACAAGCAGCCAACTAAGTGAGATTTCAGCGAAGTCTACACAGAACAGGCACACCAGCATGTGTGCGATCAAAAGATTACACATAATTAAATACAAGACCAGAGGAAGGAGCAATATTACAGCTTAAACCCTGATCACGTGGTTTGCAGAAGGTGATGGATGACAGTGAAAGCCCCAAATCCTTTTGCAGGGTCCCTAAGTGGATTGAGCCTCTAGCGAATCCCTCCTGATGGTCAATACCAAGGCTGTGCTATCAGAATGCTTTGGAGAGGAGATTAATGCAGATATGGTTAGATTAAAATTTAAAACCTTATAAGTTGTTCTGTGTTTGATCCATTAAATTTTTTTTCTAGTTTTTGTTTTTTTCTGTTTCTTTTTAATTGATATTTTGGTTTTATTTTGCTATTGTTCTTGGGTTTTTAATTTGTTTTTCTTTATATGAAATTGATGATAGGTACCTCTATATTGACAGTAACTGTATTAATAGTTTCTTAGGATTATGACTGGGGAGGCTGGGGGGAAATAGGGAGCTAACAGTAATGAGTACAATAACCGAGAAAAGGTTCTAAAATCTTCTATGGTGAGGATTGCAATTATTTTTAATATGTTTAAGCCATTCAATTGTATGACATGTCAGTTATATATCAATACTGTTAAAATAAAGAAATGTCTGAAGGATGTAGGGAAAGAAAAGCAATAGATAAAACACAGCTATAACATAGATGCTAAATAGTTCACTACTTATATAGTTTAACATTTTGTTAAACAGGTAGAATATATTTCAATGCTGATAAGCATTTTATATTTACATCTCAAATGCAATAAAGCTCTCCAAAATATTTAGATCTATCACCATTGGAAAACTTTGTATGAAATACATGAAAACGCACAATGAGGCATGACCACCAGAAGGGTGGCATTTCCAATCGTTTTTGAACTATTTCGTTCCATCAAGACGACTTTCAGTAAGGTTCCAAGCAAAAGAGGAAGAGTGTGGATAGCCTCCTACTTTCAAAGTTGTCTATTTGTAAATGGCTAAATCTTTAAAAACTTATTTGTTTGTGTTTTTACCATGATTTGGGAGATGTATGCACTGCTATCTAAATATAGGGAGAAGAGTATATTTTAAAACTTTGGCATTTGCAGACTGTAATGCACGTACTTCAATGTTGTATATTATTCTTCTCTTGCTCTTTTTTTAAGGCTCTGTGAAGCTTTGAGGACAAAATCAAATGCATGTTTGGGACTGGGGAAAAAAAAATCACTTTATTTGCTTAAAAGAAATGTTGGACTTTCTAACGACAAATATCCCAAACAGAAGAAATATCCTGACATAATCAGGCTTGCCTAAACAAACAAACAAAAATATATTGGTCTGCTAGCCTGAGTTCTATTCCTTGTCATTTGAATTTGCTTCGGTGAGCCTGCCTTGCCGCCACTCCCACCCACCCTCCTGTCCTCGTTCCTGTTTCTTCTGGCATTGCTCTGTCCTCTGTGATACACGGTTCCCCTGCATTGTCTATGCCAATTGAGCATGTGTAAATTTTGAGAGGTATAAACATGGTTTATCTATCTTTGCAAAGCAAGATTTCTTTTCTACTATACCCTCAACACAACAGTCTCATAACTGATATTAAAACTCAATAACTGCAAAATCTTAATCCACAAAATATGAGGTATAAAAAGTTGATGATAGGCAGACAAATACATATTTGTGGTCAGAGGACATGCGTTTGAATAGCTGACATAATATTTACTAGCTATAAGCACTTGGCAAAATGTCTTCATTTCCAAGGATCTTTGTTAATAATGTTTTGCACTCAGAGCTGTTGTGATAGCGTAAAAAAATTAGTAAGTGTGAATGAACATAACACAAAATCTGACACCTAGCAAGTAGTTTTAGTAAAACATGTCTCAAAAGAACATATTCTTCAGTCTCACTATCAATTCCTACTCCTTTCCTGGAGACTTTTGTGACCATATTGGCTGGACACTGTGGTCACCTCGTTTAACCACAGTGGGCATGTTTTCTTAGTTGGGAAGCAGAAACATCTCATTCTATGGTTTTGAGGTTTCCTCTATCTACAAAATTCAATTTCTATTTCAAATCTTCTCTCCCTGTAAAACGGCATACTCCCTGAAGAAAGGAACTGTGAAATAAGCATACTCTTGACTAGCTTCCTCCTTCCCACCCTCTTCATTTTCTCTCAGGTATTAATACACTGCAAAGCAAAGATGGTATTTAATCAGTATGCCATGGTTTTGAAAGTCAGTAATCCTTTATATTTTTATATGGTAGTAATACCATATAATAATCCCTTAAAAAGACAAAATGCCTAATATCTCTCAAATAACTAACGATTTAGAAAGAACAAACAAGTAGTATTACACTGATTGAAGTATAGTTTTGAAATAGCTAACTCAAGTATAAGATCAAACTGCATACACATCACACTCAACACATTGGCAAGCAAGAAATATTAATTTCTGGTTTAAAGTGTGGACATGGGCATTTCTAGACTGGTTTGAATATAGATACGGACAGAAGAAAATTCTTCCAAGAATTACACTTTATTTAATGCTACAGTATGTTCCCAGTTTCCAATCATGAGCCAAAAGAGATTTTCTCTGGAATGGGAGAGGAAAATAGTTACCCTAATGCACCATTGTACTCTTAGCTCAGCGGTGGTGATGGTTGTTATTTGTTGTTGTCTAGCCAATTCCAACTCACCTGACCTGAGTTTGCAAAGTGGAACTACTCTGTAGCCTTTTCAGACTTCCTTCTTGATGAGTCCACTGCATGGAGTTGAACTACCAGTCCTTCAGTTAATAGTCTAATGCTTAGTCTCCTCTGCTTTTTCTCTTACATTTTCATCCTTCAACTGAGTTTTTACTGGC